ATCTGCTACTCCCCTTCAGTTGGTACCATGAGAGCTTTAACACCAGCAGAAACCGTGAAAAGACTTACCACTACGTGTATAGTGTGTTGCTGTGGAGAGCCCCCAAAATAGCAGCAGGTAGCAACGGAGACAAAAAATGCAGCCATAAGACACAAGCAAGGGCACAGAGCAAGCACAGTTCATCAAGAAGTAGCAAGCAAATGCAGTCACCCAGCTAAACAAAGTAAGCGTTTACCTGCCAGTTACAATAAACAAGTCGTTCAAGCCACAACCAGGTCTTAAGGTTAATATCAGTTGAGATTTCATGCAGAGGAAATGCCAGACAATGCTGATCTATCTGTCACTGAGTTGTGGAATGAACTGTCCTGAGAAAGGGCTGCCACTGGCATTGTGGCTGCAGTTGCACTGCATTTCACTGCTGGAGAACATATTCCTTGGTATGGCAAGTGTAAACCCTCCTGGCACTGTCAGAGGACTACCAGAGAGAGAGGGGCAATGGGTGTAAAACTACTCATCCCTAAAGAAGCCCTCATTTTCTTCATGTTGTCCTCAATTAAAAACAAGCTGGGCAGGCCTATTGTGCTCCCAACTATCTGATTTTCCACGCTGAGGCTGCTGCCCATCACTTTTGCTGCTCTGGGGGGACAGCACACCCAGCTCACCGAAAAGGCCATGGGCACATAGTTTCGGCGTCGCGCCAGCTTCTTCCGGTCCCGCTCGATCTTCTCCTTCTGAGCCAACTGCTGGTAGTACTCAACCAGTTTGTTAATCTGCGGGGATGGAAAGGAACAGGCACCCAGTGTAAGGGGTGGAGTATCAGGTCAGCTGCAGTGTTTGCTTGTGAACTAGCTGGGGTCGCTGCTACTTGTTTCACTGGGTTCCTACTACCTGCTGTATTGTGAAGGATACACTTAAAAGAAGCCTGTGTGTCTTAACGTGTCTTATCCCCACGCTCTGGGTGACAAACTGAGCCTCCCTTGGGAATGATGTGTGTTGGAGGGCAGTGTCCCAGTTCTCACTTTGCAATTCAGCAACTGAGACTTCATTCACGGATTTGCCATGACCAGACAGAGTAATGTCATGTGGCCAAACTGGATTAGTGGAGCAAACGGCATCTTTAGCATCTTTTCCCCCTCCCCGAGGCTGGTCACATTTAGGGTGGAGCCCTAGAGGGAAGGGTGTTAAAGGTGCATCTCTGTTTTCCAGATCCTAGACACACTCTTGATTGGAAAACAGCTTTTTTTCACATACATACTCAGCATATTCACCGGTGTTGTTTTAACAGCACTATTAGATGGGATGTTTTCAACTGAGTTTCTTCTCAAAAGGAGATTTTATACTGCGATATCCTCAGGGGAGCCTCTAAGAGGCCTTCCCTCCATTGAATTCAGTCAGGGTGGAGATTAGGAACTGGAACTGGTATCTGAAGGATTATATAGATGCAGAAAAAGTGATTGTGAGGGCCTGACACCTCTACCAGCTCCTTCTTGCTGATCCATCTCAGCTCAAGCACAGCCTTCCTGCTCACTCACCCTCTGCGTGTGAGGATTCTCCGGCTCCTGCCAACCACCGCTCGCTGCAGGAGGAAAGAGAAAGAACAAAGTCCACAGGAGATTTCCAGACTCCATCACACCCCACGTTCAAGTATCTCAGCGTTACTCATAAAATATGACATTCCCTATTTTTGCTACATTTACCACTGCAATTCTTCAAGTTCACGCCTGTACGAATATCCACCTCTTAAAGCTTTTCACAGGCAGTTTTGGGCTGAAGGAGCTTTGGCAGCTTTTATATTGTGTTTTTAAACAAGTGCTGTTTGAGAGACACTCAGGACAGCACCTAGGAGTCACTTTAGCAGCAGGTACATGAGTTTATGTGTGTGTCTCATTACTGGCTGCCACTGCCTCTGCATCTCCAGCTCCCAGTCTTCAGTCACATCAACACTGCAAGTCAGAGGATTGGCTTGGCCTACTCAGCCCTGTTTTTGGAGCCTGACAGATGTTTTCTGTTCATCTAACATACCAAAAATAGATGAAAGCTTTGTTCCAGTGCTACTGTGAAGAGAAAAACCAAGTACAAACACCTAACTAGCAACTCCAGAATAAGTCAAAGTGTACAAAAGTGATGGAAAATAAATGAGGTGTTTATGCTGTCAGACTGAGTGGCTTCAAAGGCTCTGAAAGCACACAAACAAGACCTCAGCTGGGGGGAGAACACACTGACTAAAAGAGCCCCTCTTTTGACAGTTCTCTCACTAGTCAGGTAACAAGAACGTGGAAGTGGGTCACACATCCCGCTAACTCAGCTCAACTCTTCAGAGGAGACTTCAGCAACAAACCATTTTCCTGTGAAATTTCCAACTGTGGCTCCAACCCTAGGCAGATACTAAACCTAGAGTACAGCCAGGAGCTAACGTGATTATCTGTTCACCTGCAAACTGGGCTCCTGCTGTATCTCAGTTCTCTGTCTCTGACTGCCCCTTACCTACAGACTTGTCTGCCATCCCCACATCCCGGGAAGTCCAGCGGCAGAACCCGCAGGCCAGGTAATAGGCCTTCTTCATGGTGGTCTTGGCCGGGTCGTCGGGGAGCGGGGCGGGGATGCTCGTGGCGCGGGTGGAGAGGGTGTGCATGCAGCAGGGGCAGTCGAAGCAGTTGGCACACCTGCAGACAACCATACAGTGCTCTGAGAAGGCTCCCAGGCTGAGGGGAAAGCTCTCAACAACCAGATCAACATTAAACCGACCGTTTCCTTGAGGGAAAAACGTCGCCAGAGCCATTGGGGGAACAGGAGGGGTTCAGAGTCAACTTAAGAATGACAACAGTGAGAAACACCGAGGGTTGATAAAAAAGCTCTTTGTATTCTGAGACAAGTCAGCACAAAAAAAAAAATCCATGAACAGCACCTGATAGATCATGGAAATGATTTATTCCCCAAAGCAGACTCAGTGGTAACAAGCACCAATGTAATTTTTGAAGAGTTTCAGACAGACACGTCAGGTGCTGACCAAGGAAGGAGCTGTTTAAAACAGGGAGCCTTGATGAAAATAAAAGCCAAAGGGACCTTACCTATTCTTTTTCAGCTTGGCTTCAGCTGAAGGCATGTTCTCCAGGCAGCTGGGGCAGTAGTGGGAGTCCACCTGAAGGAGAAGGCAAGCACATCACACGTGCTACCTGGCACACGTCTGTCCATACAGCACAGGCAACTGCCACACGATCCAGAAAGGATTTGTGTCTGGCAGTGGACAGGTGCAGCCAGGGGAGGCTTGAGGCATTTTATGGTATTCAAAATCTTAGCCTGTCTCAGCCTGATTTTGTTCTTTAACAACACGAATCAGGAGGTTTCTTAAATCAGAATGGATGAATTACTCCACCTTGTAAGTGACAAAAGGTCAGCCTTTAGCAGCTACCAGGATTTCATTCTTCAGCTTGAACCACAGGTTTTAACACGTTATTTTCTACTCGCACCTAAATTTATTCCGTCCTTGCAGTTGCACTGCTCAGATTTATGCACAATTCAGAACACTTTTTATCTGTCTACTGTCACATCGAATTTTGTCAATTAAAACAATAGCAGCAAGACTGGGGGCCCTTCTTGAAGAGGAATTCAAACTGATTGTTAAACATAGACATGCACAATGGCTACACCCCTCATACCACAGTAAATCCATCACGGATGCAGCCTGGTGACAAATCTACTGCTCAGAGGCCTCGATCTTTCCCTAAAGACTCCTGAGATCAGGGCTGCACAGTCATTCTTTCAAGGCTTTCCAAATCTATCTCAGCTTCTTAGCTCAACCAGGCTTCCACAAAATCAATTCTACCGGTTTGACTGTGCCGGTTTGTGAAGCCACAAAGCCCCCCAGCGGAAATCACACCGTAAAATAATGCGGAGGGGCGTGTGTATGGGGGGGGTCTCTGCTCCTCCCCGGCCGGGCCCCATGGGGATGTGTGTGGGAGGGAGGGTTTGACCCTGCCGGCCGGGCCCCACAGAGGGTCAGGGAGAGTCACCTTTGCCCCAGCCCGGCCCCACAGAGGGTCAGGGAGGTCCCCTTTGCCCCAGCCCGGCCCCACAGAGGTTTTTGAGGATCCCCGCTCCCCCTGACCGGGGCTGAGGGGGAAACACCTTCCTCACGAGAGGAACCGCCCCTGTGCGCTCGCCTCGGCCAATCACGGCCCGAGCTCCGCCGACGGACAGGCAGTACAGCCAATCCAAAGCGCAGCACCGCCCCAGCCACCACCCAGGGCCAATCGCCGCGCCCCGCGCAGCGCTGCGCCCACCCCCCCGGAGCGCCGCCGACTAATAGAAAGGCAGAACGCGAGTGAGCGGCAGGAGAGCCGCCCAATCGGTGCCCGCTCTGCGCGCACCGTCCCGCCCGGTGCCGCCCGGTGCGCGGGCGCGGCGCGGCCGGGCCGTCGTTACCTCGTGCGAGACGCACTCCAGCGACCGGAGCTCGCTGCAGTAGCGGCAGAAGTACAGCTGCGGCAGCGGCGCCCGCAGCTCCTTCTCGCCGCGCACCAGGTACAGCACCCGCTCCGACTGCAGCAGCGACGCCATCTTGGCAGCGGGCGGGCTCCGCCGCGCCGCGTGACGTCAGCGCGGCACCGCGTGACGTCAGCGCGCCTCCCTGTCGGCGGGCCCGGGCGGTGCCCGCCCCTCTCCCTCAGAACCGAGAGTTCCCTCCCATGTCCCATCCAACCCTTCCCCTGGCAGCGGGGAGCCGTTCCCGCTTTTCCCGTCCCTCCATCCCGTGTCCAAAGTACCTCTCCAGTTCTCTGGGGGCCCCTTTAGGTAGTGGGAGGGGCTCTGAGGTCTTTCCGCAGCCCTCTGTTCTCCGGGTGAAGCCCCTCGGCTCTCCCAGTCCGTCTCCAGGGCAGAGGGGCTCCAGCTCGTGGAGCATCTTTGCGGCCGCCTCTGGACTCGCTCCAGCGGCTCCACATCCTTCCTGTGCTGGAGCTGGACAGAGTGCTGAATATTCCACACCCCAAAGGTGGTTTCTCTTCAGTCTCGTGGCCGCTCAGACGGGGTCCTGACAAGAACAAGCATTCCCGTGTCGTGGGATCAGCGGGAAAGCGAGCATGAGTTCTGTGGATGCTGTGCTGCGTGGGCAGAGCTGCCATCAGCAAACCACCCCCAATGTGCCCTTGGATACCCCGACCAAGCACCAGCCACAGCCTGGACTGTGGCGTGGATCCCCTGTTCCCACTCCTGTGCCCATCCCTGCACAGCCTGGAGTCAGTCCCTGCCCTCTGCCCGCCGCTGGCAGCTCCGGAGGAAACGCCTGTCCATGAGGATCTGCTGCAGCTCGAGATAAAAACCACACGTGCTCTTTATCCGGCAGCAGCAGCCGGAGGGGAGCACGGCTGCACAGGCGGGGAGGAGGATCCCTGCCTGTGCTGTGGGCCCGGGAAGGTGCCTGGAGGCCAGGGGGATCTGAGAGCATGTGGGTAGGGGTTTCCACCGCCGGGAATCTGGCAGGTTTCCCTGGGGAAAAGCAGGAGTGAAGGATGCAGTGCGTGGATCCCACTGTGTGTGACACTCAGCTGGTGTCCCAGCAGGAAAATCAGAGCATCCCACCTCTGCTTTCGCCATTCGGCATCACCGATGGAGCGGAATGTTCCAGTGGGCAGTGGAAACGCTGTTCCCTGTCTCTGTAAATCACCCTGCCCGGATCCCTGGGGAGCGCGGGCACCTCGCTGCGGGCAGATATGGAGGCTCTGGGTGGTTCTGCTTTTCCCTCCTGCCCCGGGCCTCGGGGGCACGTGTGACCTGTGAGCCCTGCTGGGGCAGGAGCAGGACGGGGCAGGGGAGAGCCCTTTGTTAAGGGCTAAGAAGTGAAATGTTCCCACGGTGTGACCTGACACCTTCGGGTTCGGCTCCAGATAGTCTCCCCCGGTGGGGCCCCATCCTGGCTGGGATGAGATGGAATGTGACCTCGCTTTAGCCCGGTGAGAAAAAAAAAAAAAAAAAGCAGTCCTGCCTTCCCTGCCCTCCCTTCCCCTTCCTTCTTTCCTTCCCCTTCCCCTTCCCTGCCGCCCCGCGCGGGCCGGGCGGGGCCAGGCGGAGTCTTCCTCCCTCGACGGGATCCGCCGCTGCCGTCTCTTCTCGCCGGAGCCCGAGTCGGAGCCGGGCAGCGCCGCAGGTAAGGGGATGCGGGCAGGCAGGATGGGCAGGGCATGCAGGGCAGGTAGGATAGGCAGGGCACCAGCAGGGCAAGTAGGACGGGCAGGGCACAGGCAGGACGGGCAGGGCATGCAGTGGGCAGGTAGACTAGGCAGGGCACGGGCAGGGCATGCCGGGGGCAGGCAGGACGGGCAGGGCACAGGCAGCTGACCCCTCTCCCCCACGGCATCGTGTCCCCCCCCACCCTCGGGGTGCCGGAGCGGGACGGGGGCAGCAGCCGCGGTCCCCGTGGAGGAGGGTCCCTGCTCTCCGGCCCCTCCGCCCCACTGAGCTGTTAACTCCGTGACTCAGTACGGGGTACAGGTGGAGGGGACACACACAGGAGGCTCCCCAGGAGGGGGGGGCTCTGGCTGACCTGACCCCACCATTCCCCCATGCGATGACCCACTGATGAGTGACCAGCGGGATGCCCGGTTGTGGCTTTGCTTTATCAGCTCCTTTATCAGTGATAGCAATTAATAGGGAAGTTTTTCCCTAGGCTTTCATCCAGGGCTTCCAAAGCACGCTGTAAATCCCGGGGCTAATCGAAGGAGCCTTTACCAAAGGCTCTCGGAGGAGCCCGAGGTGAAAGCTGGACTTGGCCACAGCCAAGAGAGCAGCGGGTTGCTCAGAGCAGTGCGGACATTCTGTCTGTGGGAGGGATGGCGGGGGCTGCCCCATCACCCCTCTGCCTCTCCCTCGCAGGATGGACCTCCCCGACCTCACAGGTGCTGCCGCCCTTCCCAAGCACATCCTGGACGTCTGGGTCATCGTCTTGATCATCCTGGCTACCATCCTGGTCATGACGGCGCTGGTGCTCTGCCCGGCCACCGCCGTCATCATCTACCGCGTGCGAACTCACCCCACGCGCAACGGCGTCGTGTGAGCCGTGGGCACCGGGGCACGGCCGGCCCGCCAGGCAGGGGGCTGCAGCCATGGGACCCTGTGCCAGGGACCCCACAGAGCCCGATGGGGCACCCTGAGAGCTGGAGGGACAGGCAGGAGCCAGGGCCTGCCCCTGTGCTGGCCACAGGCTCTTGCTGGGTGAACCCACTGCCTCGTGTTGCCCCCCGAGCTCGCAGGGACCGTGGCAGAGGTGGCAGCACAGGCAGCAGTGTGACTTCGTGTTCGTGTCCAGCTAGAAACGACTTGCTCCCGTGAGGCAGGGAGACTAGTGTTGCCTTCACTGGTGATCCCATCCCAGGCAAGCAGCAAGAAGTGGAAATGCCGGGCAAAAATTATTTCTTCTTTGGAGTCCCAGCTCTCAGGGTGTTTGGAAAAAAGGATCAAAGCAAGATGGATGTGGCTTCTGGCTGAAAGCATCGGTGACAGAGCCCATCCTGGCTGCATCTGGAGACGTGCATCTGGCACTGACTTCTCTATCCGTTATCTGCTGAAATCATAGGAAAATCTTATGGGGCTCTTGGTTCCTCTGGGTCTTGTGTAGCAGAGAAGTGTGTGCAGCTCCTGCCAGCCTGTCTACCTGCACGCTGGCTGCGCTCCCTGCTCCTGATAGCGAGAGGCCCCACCATTCACCCAGCACACCAGCCCCACTGGGGGGTCTGTGCGCCTCTCACCTGGGCAGGTAAAGCGGGAGGAGCAGGTTTGTGCCCAGTCAGTGGCAGGGGACCATGTAAGCTCTTGCATTGCTCTTTGTTATGAAATAAATGGACTTTACCCTACATGTGAGCATGTCGTGCAGCTCTGTCCACACTACGGGCGGTGTCCAGGTGCCCGTACGCAGGATCTGAGATACTTTGCAGCCTCTCCTGAAGCCCTGTCTGTGCTCCTGCACAGACACCTCCTGCACTGTTTTGGCTCGAGGTGCTGGGGTTCTGTCTGGCCTTGGAGCCCGCCAGCCCAGCCCCACACTCTGGGAGGGCAGACCTCAATTGGGCAATGGTTGTCAGACAGCGGGAAGGATCCCTCAGGGCTTTCTGACAGTGGTGATGGCTGGTTTCCTCCCACTCGGGTGACCAGCATCGCTTCTCCCACACCAGCCGCGTGCCGGGGTCAGCGGGGCAGGAGCAGTGCTGGGGCTGAAACTCTGTCCTGGTGACTCACGGCAGGAAAGGTCTCAAGTAACAGGATGAGTCAGGGATGTGGGAGAACGCTACGGTGATGCTGGTGGGAATTGTTTAAATCCCATTTTGTCTACTGGAAAGAGCAACCAGCCCTGCAGTGTTCAAATCCTGTCTCGTCCCGTGTGGCTTGATCCACGGCAGCTGGCATCTGATTTGGGTTGGGGTCAGAGGGGCTGGCGATTCCTGGGGAAGCAGGACCTTGGGCAAACACCTCCCACCCCAGGAAGGGAGCCCAGCACAGGGATGCAGACCCTGCTGAGCAGAAATGCCTGCACTGCAGCCACAGGCTGTGGTTGTGGTGGGAGGAAAGGGAATGTGTGTTCCTTTCCCAGCCCAGAAACAAATTTCCGTTTCAAGCTGTTGACTCTCTCTTTTCCCTCTGAAGTTGCAGAATTTGAGGCAAATAACCAGAGTTAGTTTCCTGTTGTTCCTCCTCTCTCCCTCCCGTGCTGGCACAGCGCAGCAGCAGCTGGAAGACATTACAGATGTGCAGGGTGGGAGCAGCCCCAGCTCTGCTTTCCCCTCCCCTGCCCCACCCCAGCATTGCTTCCCTGGAGACACTGAGGGGATGGCCAGTGGCATCTGGCACCAGGAATGGGAGCTGAGCAGCTTCGCTGTGAGAGGAACAGGGAAGAAGCCACAAACATTGGAATGGTTTGAGAAGGAAGCCTGGTTTGGAACAAAACACGAGGGAAAGCATGGAACACCTTCCCCCCCTGTCCATGAAACCATACCCAGTGGCTGCTCCCACCTCTGTGTGCCCCTTGGAGCAGCCAAGGGATGTGAGAGGTTTCCTTTCATGGCGTGAGTTTTCTGGAAAGTTTCAAGTCCGTGGCAAACATTTCCAGGAAAGGCCTTGGAAAGAGGGATTTGCTTGTAACAACAACAAACACGGAGTGAAATGGCAGCTAGGGGGAAAAGCAGGGAGAAGCCAGGACATTTTTTAGGTAGAGATGGGGAGAACAGATATGGACTGAATTTCCAGCAGAGTTGAGTTGGAAATTCCTCCTCCAGGATGGACTAAGATAAGCAAATCCTCCCGCAGCCCTGGCTGCAGCGCCTGAACAGTGCTGGAGCTCAGAGGCAGTGTTTGTCTGGTGTTTTGCCAAGGAAAAAAGGCTTTTCCTGCCTTTTGAGGAGCAGACACTGTGGCAAGCAGGCACGATGCAGGTGCTGAGGTGATTCAGCATCCACTGGGATGCTTTCCTAGAGGTGCTGGAGTGTGGCAAGGAGCTTGCTGCTGGCTCATGGGGGCTGCTGCTGGGGGATGAGATTGGGGCAACTCCAGCGGGGAGCAGGGGATGGAAGATTTTGGCCTTTGGACAGTCCCCCTTTGCAGTGGGAAAGGGGGGGAAATTGAGTCAGTGGCATTTCTGCAGGGGGACAGATCTTACCCTGCAAGAGGAAGGGATGGCAATGGTGGAGGGAGCAGCAATCAGGCCATAGCCTGGGGGCTGTGAATGCACTCGGGACAGGGGGGGTCTGTACTCCAAAGGGTGTTGGGCACCATGCCCAGCAGGGAGGCTGCCATCGAACAGGGAGCACATGGGCTGGGGCAGGGAGGTGAGGGCTGGATGAGCTGCTGGCCAGCAGCGTGGGGAGGCCTGGTGCCCAAAGAGCTGGGGCCTTTTGCCTGGCAGAGCTTGTTCTGCCTTTGCCTCCCATTGCACACCTAGAACAAAAGTTCAGAGGCTGCCCTGGGACTGATGCCAGGCCAGGCTGCCAGAGGGAAGCTGCCCTGCTGCTAGCAGGGTGGTGCTGCCTGATGCTGCCCAAGCGCCTTGCTGCTGTCCTGGCACTGCTGGCCTGTCGCTCTACATGGAAGAAATTCCTCAGTCAGCTCTGGGACTGCTGCTCAAGCTCGTCGCCACCACCCTGGCACACTGCTGGCACTATCCCTGTTACTTTACATGGCAGAAACTGCTTGGTCAGTTCTGGGACAAGTCCAGCCAGCAGCAGTACACGGTCCCCACCCCTGCTTTCACTCTCTGTGCTCAGCTGTGGCCCTGCAGCCTGGCACAAGATCTCTGCAGCCCCTGGCCCGCAGCTCAGGGACAGCCAGAGAGGCTGGTGGCGGCAGCAGCATGGTGGCCATGGGGCTGGAAGCTCCTGGCCTCCCGCCTCAAACTCCTGCCAAACATCTGCAGCAGGCGGGGGCTGGCTCCTGCCCAGCTCTGGTGGAAAAACAACCAGGGAAGGAGGTTCGTGCGAGGGTCAGCCCGCCCAGCATGCCTGCCATTGGGGGTGGGGGATCCCAGTCCTACAGGGTAGTTGCTGGAGCCACCAGCACCCTCAGCTCTGCCAGGCAGCCTCCAGCACGGCAAGGCAGAGACGGTGAGGACACTGGGTGACACTCCCAGGTTGCTGTGGAAGCTCAGCGACAGAGAAGGGGTCCATCAGCTGTGGCTCATTAACTACTCCTCCATCCCCACCTCCACCAAGGCTGATTTGGCACCGGGACCCAAGGAGAGGGGACTTGGAGAAACAGGTCCCTTATTTTTATTTTTATTTTGACTTCAGGAAAACTCAGTTCAGAAGTAGCTCAGCCTTTCCCTGTGCATGGCAGGGGTCAGGGACACGTGGAAGGGACACAACCACACGGTGCCACCACTGCACAACCCACGCTACTCTTCTGGCCCCCGAGTCCTTATTGACCAGGAAAAAGCCACCAAAGCCCTACCCAGGCAATTAGGGGACATAACTAGAAGTGGGTGGCTGCTCCCAAGGTGGGAGCTAGTGGAACAGGGAGCACAGCCCTGAGCAGCTCCTCAGGTCTGTCCCAGCTCTGTCCCAGGAGGTGGCTCCAGCCCTGGTCAGGCTCAGCAGTGTGAGCTGGCTGGGGAGCAGGGCACTGTGCCAGGCTCACACTGGTCCCTGTGGGCTGCAGGATGCACAGAGGTGCAAGCAGCATGTTGGACAGGAGCTGCAGCCCCAAGGCCCTGTGGTCCCAAATCTCCCCAGAGCCTGGGAAGTGGCTGGGGAATGTCAAACCTCTAACAGTGGCTCCTACAGGTTCCCCATTTTTGGCAAGGAGTCACCTTACTCCCCCACATCCATGACGGTCAACTGGAGCATCCCTGGGGCCAGCCTGGCTGTTGGTACCTTGTGATGGGCTCTGGGCAGTCTCCAGGCAGCAGCTGAGCATCTTAGGGGTTTGCCTGAACCTGGGAAACACACCACACCCCATGCCAGGGCAGGGCTAAGCCACTCCTCCAGTACCAGTGCAGGTTTAAAGCTTTTGGAAATACTGCCAATGATGGAGGGACCTACAGCTGCCCTGCTCTAAAGGTTCCCTGGATGCCTGAAGGATGCACCCGACTTCCAGCCCTCCCACACCAGCTGAGGCTGCATTTGGAGCCAGACAATATCAGCCTTTCCAAGGACACGGTGTTCCTGCTGGTGAAAAACATGGATTGGGAGATTGCTCCCAGCCTCCTCTTAACTCACATCCACACTCCCCTTCCCTGGTGGCATCTCCAGCAGCCTGCTCGCTGACACCATTGTGGCAAAGCTGGCCCTGCTTTCTTGCAAAGCCAAACCTCCTGCTGGCACTCCTGGTGCCCCCAGGGCTTACCCACTGCCACCCCATCCTGTCCTGCATTCCAGGCCAGCCCCCATCCCAAACCGCAGTTTCCCAGCCAGTTGATTCTCCCACCAAATGAGCTTTGTTGGGGGATTTCAGGGAATTGACACCTCACCAGGGATATTTTCCTTGGAGACAGCCCAGGGTAAACGTTTGCGTTCCTTGCCTATGCAAACAGGACCCTGGAAACTCCTGCCCCTGGGGACACCAAGGGCTGAGGGACAGCAGTGACCTGCCCTTGACCGCAGCAGGGTCAGTGTGGAGACACAGCCCCCCGAGCTCCAGAACAGCCCCCCCAGGAGGAACCCTCCTCCAGGGCTGCTTCCAGCAACACCCTAATTTACAGCACACCAGGGAGAGAAGCAGGATCAACCTTCCCCAGCTCTGCCCTTGCAGCCACTGAGGGAAACACCTCCCCAGACGCCCAGCCCGGCCTCCCCGGGGATGCTGCTGCGGGTGTTTAGTCCCTGTTGCTCGGGTGCCAGCACCCCACTGGGGGAAAAATGTCACCTTGGCTGGGTGCCCTGTGCAGGATGGGGCACCTCTTCCCTGCGACACTTCTCTCCCCCACTCACTCCCTCTGCCCCCCTGTCCCCTCTCCATCCCCCGGTCCCTCTCTCCACCCACTCCCTGTCCCTCTCCCCCCGCACTTCTCCTCCCAGTCCGCGGGTTTATCCCGGCTCGGATAACTTGTTGCATAAACCCTCCGCACATGCCGCTGCCCCGTGTTCCCGTGGGTGCCCCCGGTCCCTGCCAGGCCGCGGTGCCACCCCGGGGCGGTGTCCGTCCGTGTGTCCGTGTGTCCGTCCCAGAGCCCACACGGTTAACGCGGCCCCGGCCCGGCCCCCCCCGGCCATTGGCTCCCCCGCCGCAGCCCCGCAGCTATTTCTTGGCCGCCGGGCTCGGAGGTGACAGCAGGCGACAGCAGCGCCGGTCCCCGCCGCTGGCCCCGGGCTGTCAGAGGGGTGCCCGCACCCCGCACCCCGCGCCCCGCCATGGGGGGCT